GGCATCGATCAGTGTAAACAAATCATAACACTAACCCTCCAGAAGTTTGGGTGTTACACTGTTACCCTGAAAACGGCTGTATTTCACCAAGCCCACGTGGCCCAATGGATAAGGCACCGGCCTCCTACACTAAGACATTGGTGATAGCCGGGGATTGCGGGTTCGAGTCCCGTCGTGGGTAATGCATTCTTTTGCAATTGTTTTCTTCTTTGTTTTACGTTTTTCAACAATACACATAGTGAGAATTGACACCCACCTTTGCCTTTTCTATAACTGAAAAGAATTGGTAAGTGCATTGCCTTTCAGGCATCGATCAGTGTAAACAAATCATAACACTAACCCTCCAGAAGTTTGGGTGTTACACTGTTACCCTGAAAACGGCTGTATTTCACCAAGCCCACGTGGCCCAATGGATAAGGCACCGGCCTCCTACACTAAGACATTGGTGATAGCCGGGGATTGCGGGTTCGAGTCCCGTCGTGGGTAATGCATTCTTTTTGCAATTGTTTTCTTCTTTGTTTTTACGTTTTTCAACAATACACATAGTGAGAATTGACACCCACCTTTGCCTTTTTCTATAACTGAAAAGAATTGGTAAGTGCATTGCCTTTCAGGCATCGATCAGTGTAAACAAATCATAACACTAACCCTCCAGAAGTTTGGGTGTTACACTGTTACCCTGAAAACTGCTGTATTTCACCAAGCCCACGTGGCCCAATGGATAAGGCACCGGCCTCCTACACTAAGACATTGGTGATAGCCGGGGATTGCGGGTTCGAGTCCCGTCGTGGGTAATGCATTCTTTTTGCAATTGTTTTCTTCTTTGTTTTTACGTTTTTCAACAATACACATAATGAGAATTGACACCCACCTTTGCCTTTTTCTATAACTGAAAAGAATTGGTATGTGCATTGCCTTTCAGGCATCGATCAGTGTAAACAAATCATAACACTAACCCCTCCAGAAGTTTGGGTGTTACACTAATACACTGAAAACGGCTGTATGTCACCAAGCCCACGTGGCCCAATGGATAAGGCACCGGCCTCCTACACTAAGACATTGGTGATAGCCGGGGATTGCGGGTTCGAGTCCCGTCGTGGGTAATGCATTCTTTTTGCAATTGTTTTCTTCTTTGTTTTTACGTTTTTCAACAATACACATAGTGAGAATTGACACCCACCTTTGCCTTTTTCTATAACTGAAAAGAATTGGTAATTGCATTGCCTTTCAGGCATCGATCAGTGTAAACAAATCATAACACTAACCCTCCAGAAGTTTGGGTGTTACATTGTTACCCTGAAAACTGCTGTATTTCACCAAGCCCACGTGGCCCAATGGATAAGGCACCGGCCTCCTACACTAAGACATTGGTGATAGCCGGGGATTGCGGGTTCGAGTCCCGTCGTGGGTAATGCATTCTTTTTGCAATTGTTTTCTTCTTTGTTTTTACGTTTTTCAACAATACACATAGTGAGAATTGACACCCACCTTTGCCTTTTTCTATAACTGAAAAGAATTGGTAAGTGCATTGCCTTTCAGGCATCGATCAGTGTAAACAAATCATAACACTAACCCTCCAGAAGTTTGGGTGTTACATTGTTACCCTGAAAACGGCTGTATTTCACCAAGCCCACGTGGCCCAATGGATAAGGCACCGGCCTCCTACACTAAGACATTGGTGATAGCCGGGGATTGCGGGTTCGAGTCCCGTCGTGGGTAATGCATTCTTTTTGCAATTGTTTTCTTCTTTGTTTTTACGTTTTTCAACAATACACATAGTGAGAATTGACAACCACCTTTGCCTTTTTCTATAACTGAAAAGAATTGGTAAGTGCATTGCCTTTCAGGCATCGATCAGTGTAAACAAATCATAACACTAACCCTCAAGAAGTTTGGGTGTTACATTGTTACCCTGAAAACTGCTGTATTTCACCAAGCCCACGTGGCCCAATGGATAAGGCACCGGCCTCCTACACTAAGACATTGGTGATAGCCGGGGATTGCGGGTTCGAGTCCCGTCGTGGGTAATGCATTCTTTTTGCAATTGTTTTCTTCTTTGTTTTTACGTTTTTCAACAATACACATAATGAGAATTGACACCCACCTTTGCCTTTTTCTATAACTGAAAAGAATTGGTAAGTGCATTGCCTTTCAGGCATCGATCAGTGTAAACAAATCATAACACTAACCCCTCCAGAAGTTTGGGTGTTACACTAATACACTGAAAACGGCTGTATGTCACCAAGCCCACGTGGCCCAATGGATAAGGCACCGGCCTCCTACACTAAGACATTGGTGATAGCCGGGGATTGCGGGTTCGAGTCCCGTCGTGGGTAATGCATTCTTTTTGCAATTGTTTTCTTCTTTGTTTTTACGTTTTTCAACAATACACATAGTGAGAATTGACACCCACCTTTGCCTTTTTCTATAACTGAAAAGAATTGGTAATTGCATTGCCTTTCAGGCATCGATCAGTGTAAACAAATCATAACACTAACCCTCCAGAAGTTTGGGTGTTACATTGTTACCCTGAAAACTGTTGTATTTCACCAAGCCCACGTGGCCCAATGGATAAGGCACCGGCCTCAGACCTCCCTTGATTCGGAGGTGTGTGGACGTGTTGACGAGAGAGTGATAGATTTTCTCGGATATCATCGTTTATACTTGCGTCTGGATTTCAATTCGGTGCTTAGAAGGTAGGAAAACATTCACAATGTAATTGTAGGTGAACCTGCCGTATTAGCAAGCACTTTGGTGCGTGCTCAAGACTTTGTCTTTCTTGTTGATATCTTGCCGACTGGATACAAAATGGCGGACATCAAATCAAAAAGAAAGTATCAGAAAGACTGCACAATTGAAGTTCATGTTGGAGATAATAAAGTTATAAGTGCAACTATGCTATCCAATGCATTGGTGGAATATGTATCTGATGTGTGGGCATGTGTTTTGAAAGGCACCGATTGCTATGACGTAACAGTCCCAGATACTACTGAAGCAAGGATTCTTGCAGAAACCGATGACTTGGTCATAGGAGATCAACACATCTCATTTAGACTTCTTCACAGTGACAGCGTGGTTGTATCATTTTTACATCTCCCGCCTTACATTGATGATGTAGAAATTGAAAGGCTTCTTATCAAAAGAGGAATAACAATGAAAAGTGATATACAACACAGGACTCTGAAAGGCACAAACATTTTTGACGGAACACGATATGTGCGGGTTGTATTTCCCCCTCAGTGCACCTCATTACCATATTCTATGGGATTTAACACCCTAGATGGATATAGGTACTTTAGAGTTATACATAACAATCAAGAGCGTTTATGTTTCAAGTGCAATTCTGGGGGGCCACATGGTCAAAGATTGCCCAAATACCAAATGCTTTAAATGCAATGGACAAGGGCATATAGCCAGAAATTGCAATGCAGAAAGAAAACAGGAACGCAATTGCGATATATGTTTTCGTCCAATTGATATTTGCAACTGTTTCTCTGATGTTGAAGATAATGATCAGAGCAGTGTTTCTGATTCTGAGCTGGAGAGAGCTAGCCCCAACGAAATCTTGGGATGAGGTTCCTCTGGACCATGAGTCAAATGAGAACCATACAGATGGACCAGAAGAAGAAAAAGACAATGAAGAGGAAGAGACAAAAGGAGAAGAAAAGGAAAGAAAGGCTGAGGAAGCACATCCACGTGCAGTTCCGTCTTCTGAGATCATTCCTAGTTGTGACAAGGAGAAGGACAATGACAGCACGGACAAGAACGCTTTGTCTCAAGATAGACTTGACATAACAGAAGATGATAAAGACATTCAACAAACACTTGTGACACCTGCTAAGTGGACAATTTCTTCACGTAAACGTGCAAGAAGGCACAAACTACAGCCAAAGTTAACAGACACAGTAATACATAGCAATGACTTGAAAAATAAAGTGAGAGAAAGCAAAAAAGACCAACAAAAGAAAAAGAAAGCAGAAAAGGTCAACGACAGAAGAGAACTATCAGGTGTGTCGAAAAGTGTTATGGAAACCTCATAATGTTGTTCATTATCCATCTATTTCTCTTTATTGTAATGGTCACAATATGGTCATGGAATGTAAATGGACTCCGTGATATAGCTAAAATGCAAAATGTATTTGCACTAATTCAGAATTCGCACGTTGATATTGCATTTTTGCAGGAAACCTTTTGGTCAGATGAATATATAGAAAAATATAAACATTTATGGCCAGGAACTATTTTATATTCTAATGCAGAAAATGACAGAAGAGGTGTAGCGATATTAGTCTCAACTGGTTTTGAGCAAAAAGTTACGATGCTTAAAAAGATGAAGATGGAAGAATAATAAAGGCTTCTTTATCTATTGAAGATAGAACAGTGAGTTTATTAAATGTGTATGCCCCAAATGAGATTAAGGAGAGAATACATTTCTTCAACAATTTAAGAAAATGGATTGAAAAAGAACATTTAATTTGTGCTGGGATTTTAATGAGATAATAAATCCTTTACTTGATAAGGGCATAAATACTACATCGTTTAACATTCAAAGTAGCAACGTTTTAAACAATTTTCTCACCAATAACAACTTTGTTGATATATGGAGGTATAAAAACTATGACAAAAAAGAGTTTACTAGAATGCAGTATGTGTTAGGAGTTCTTAAACAATCTAGAATTGATCTCATAATTGTTTCAAGAGATCTTATTACAAGCGCTATAAACAGTTACATTAGATACTCCTCTGTGAGTGATCACAGCATAGTTGCACTGAGGTTGGACTTTTCTTCAGTAGAAAGAGGTCCTGGGGTATGGATTTTTAATAATCAGCTTCTGGAAGATTTTACATTCTACCTAAGAATTATTGCATTAATAGAGGAGGCAAAACAGTGCCCTTTACTTAAAACAGAGCCATTGATATGGTGGGATAACTTAAAATACAAGTTCAAAACATTTTCCAGATTTTATGCATCTAAAAAAGGCAACCAAGCAAAAGCTGATTATTACAAAATTCAAAATAAGCTTAGAATTGAATATCATAAAATATCCTCCATTCCTGGCTATACATCTACTGATTTACAATCATTGGAAAATGAACTTGAGATATATGAGAATAATAAATGCAAGGGTGCCATTCTCAGGTCAAAAGCACAGTGCACGCTGGATTCAGATAGAAACACCAGTTACTTTCTGAATCTTGAAAAACTAAACAACAGGCTAATTCAATAACATCACTCTTCAAGGAAGATGGTACGATAGCCAGGAGCACAGAGGATATTTTGGATACTGCTCAGCAATTTTACTCATCCTTATTTAATGCCGAGCAATGTAATTTAGTAAAACAACAGGGCCTCATTGATAACATTGAAAAAACTTTCTGAGGAAGAAAAAATTCATGTGACCTACCTATTTCTCAGAGTGAGCTTACAGTGGCACTCAAAGGAATGAAAAAGAATAAATTACCTGGCCCGGACGGGCTAACTGTTGAGTTTTATTTAAAGTTTTGGGATATTTTATGTCCCTTCTTTTTAGAAGTTGTGGATGGTATACACAAAGAACATAATCTTTCTCGTTCCATGAAAAAGAGTATTATCAGTTTGTTTTATAAAAAGAAAGGAGACAAGAGAGACATTAAGTGTTACAGACCTATTTCATTGATTAATGTAGATTCTAAACTCATATCAAGAGTGTTATCGTTGAGATTGAGAAATGTCATGGCTTCAATTGTCTCCCCTGAACAATCTTGTTGTGTACCAGGAAGAGACATAGCCAACAACCTTCACTCTGTTCGAGATGTTATTGATGTTATCAATAATCGTAATGATGACTCATATCTCATAAAAATAGATCAAGAAAAAGCTTTTGACAGGGTTTCACACCAATATTTATTTCAAATTCTTAGGAAATTTAACTTTGGAGATTTATTCATTTCATGGATTAAGATCTTATATACTGATATAAAGAGTTCTGTGAAGTGCAATGGCCATTTGACACCGTATTTCACACTAACCCGTGGAGTTCGGCAAGGGGATCCAATGAGTTCTATGCTATACGTTTTGATATCAGAGCCACTGAATTTAATCATCAGAAATAATCCTGATATTCATGGAATTAGCATCAGCAATGATATTAACTCTTTAATATACCAACATGCTGATGACACTACAATTACTGTCTCAGATGTTAACTCTGTCCTTGAAACATTTAGTACAGTTAACCTATATTGTGAGGCAACAGGTGCAAAATCAACATTGAAAAATCTGAAATTTTGTTATTGGGTAAAAATAGGTTTAGTGATTTTTCAATCAAAATTCCGGTTAAAGTTAAGAGGGATTGTATAGAAATACTGGGCATTTATTTTGGCATGGACAAAGCAATGTGTGAAACATTAAATTGGGGAAAGAAAATAGACAAAATACAAGCACTGTTAAATTCATGGCTTCGCAGACAACTTACTTTACAAGGCAGAGCCATTGTTATTAATATCTTGATGAGCTCTCGTTTGTGGTATATGTTCACTGTACTACCTGTTCCGTATTGGGTTGAGAATAAATTCACTCAATTGTTCAGGAATTTTTTGTGGCACAATAAAACTGCCAAAATAGCACACAATACATGCATTGGTGTTTGTTTAGATGGAGGTCTTAATATACCAAATTTACGTTTACGAAAATATGCATTGAGGCTGAAATTGCTGAGAGTCTTTGTCAATTGCCAGCTCAATTGTATTTGGAAACAAACCATTGTATATTTTATGTCACATCTTTTGACAATGAACTTAGGAATTTATGCATTATCTCTTGAATATGATAAAACCTATTTACAGAATATAAGCCCATTTTATGCTGAACTATTAGCTGCATGGAATGAATTGAACGAAGGAAAAAGACCATTACTTAAAAATGTAGAAGACATCATGAATCAGCCACTATTTAAAATCCATTAATTACATTTAATGGAAAAACTCTTATGTTTCAATCGTTTATTTCAAGTGGAATTATTTGTATCAAACATATTTGTTTTGAAGTCATTCCAAAATTCATGTCTGGACACATTATTGTGAAAATAGTCCATGACACCTTACCTGAGATGGATATTAGTACCATACAACAATGTTATGGGGTTATTTTATTAGCGCTTCCATCAGAGTGGAAAAAGATAATTTTATCAGAGGTTGCCACAAAGCCCCCCATCAGGGAACATAATATGCACTGTTGATGAACAGGATCTGTCTGTTGATTTATTTACAACAAAATTTTGTTATGAAGTTCTCAGGAAAAACATTTCAAGAAACCAGTAGCTATCTCTTGGTGGAATCAAATTGCTTTAGATATCAATTGGAAAGATATTTGGCTGAATGTATGGGGAAAAGATAAATCAACAGATTCCGTACAGTTAGATTTCAAAATTGCTCATAATATTGTCTTCACATATGATAAACTCCTAAAATTGGACTGTCAAACACTGATGTTTGTCCAGTGTGTCAAAGTGAAACAGAAGACATTTTACATCTATTCATCTTCTGCAAAGAGTTATCTTCCTTGCAAGAACTGGTGACTGAAATGTTGACAGATGTGTGCCAGGATACAGGATTTAGTTTTGGACAGTTATCCCTCTGGTTATTGTTTGGATTCTTACCAGAAAAGAAGTTGTCATGTAAATCATTCATGGACATTGTATTGTCAATTTATCGTCTTGCTGTATTTAAAAGGAGAGTTATATTGAGCCAAAACACAATCTCATTTCACATGAGGGCATTTTTCAAATCATTGATAAAACGCCATTTTAGCCTGTTGTTGTATAAATATTCGAAAACAAATCAATCACACATTTTCACTCAAAAATATGTCATGAGCAATGCATTCATATCGTTAGATGGAAATGAGATTATTCTCAATCCACCTTTAGATTAGAACAATACGTAGTTCATTACATCTGTAGAAGTGCATGTATTAGAGCTGAATGAAATACATTTCATATTTATTCATGTACACATGTGGATTGTAAATTGTAAAATACTTATGAATATGCTTTCTCTCTTTACAATTGATATGTTAACCACTACCACCCAAACTCTGTGATAAATATTTTATTTTTGAGGTGGTAGTGTGAGCACTGTCTGCGCCTGTAATTATCCAATCATGTGAATAAATATTTTAATGAAAAAAAAAAAAAAAAAAAGGCACCGGCCTCCTACACTAAGACATTGGTGATAGCCGGGGATTGCGGGTTCGAGTCCCGTCGTGGGTAATGCATTCTTTTTGCAATTGTTTTCTTCTTTGTTTTTACGTTTTTCAACAATACACATAGTGAGAATTGACACCCACCTTTGCCTTTTTTTCTATAACTGAAAAGAATTGGTAAGTGCATTGCCTTTCAGGCATCGATCAGTGTAAACAAATCATAACACTAACCCTCAAGCAGTTTGGGTGTTACACTGTTACCCTGAAAACGGCTGTATTTCACCAAGCCCACGTGGCCCAATGGATAAGGCACCGGCCTCCTACACTAAGACATTGGTGATAGCCGGGGATTGCGGGTTCGAGTCCCGTCGTGGGTAATGCATTCTTTTGCAATTGTTTTCTTCTTTGTTTTACGTTTTCAACAATACACATAGTGAGAATTGACACCCACCTTTGCCTTTTTCTATAACTGAAAAGAATTGGTATGTGCATTGCCTTTCAGGCATCGATCAGTGTAAACAAATCATAACACTAACCCCTCAGAAGTTTGGGTGTTACACTGTTACCCTGAAAACGGCTGTATTTCACCAAGCCCACGTGGCCCAATGGATAAGGCACCGGCCTCCTACACTAAGACATTGGTGATAGCCGGGGATTGCGGGTTCGAGTCCCGTCGTGGGTAATGCATTCTTTTGCAATTGTTTTCTTCTTTGTTTTACGTTTTCAACAATACACATAGTGAGAATTGACACCCACCTTTGCCTTTTTCTATAACTGAAAAGAATTGGTAAGTGCATTGCCTTTCAGGCATCGATCAGTGTAAACAAATCATAACACTAACCCTCAAGCAGTTTGGGT